TTTTTTTTTTTTTTTTTTTTTTTTTTTTTTTTTTTTTTTTTTTTTTTTTTTTTTGAGCAGCGAGGTCTTGAATTATCCCTGATTCTTCATCCTTTATGATTACCCTGTTTCATCTCGACTTTTCTGAATATCTGATTTATTTACAAACAGGGTCATATCAATACTTGAACATCGCCTTTCTTGATTGATTAGATTACAGGTGATTGTTCGATTTTGTATATGTATATATATATCTCGAGGGATGTTCGTGATGCCTTTGTCGTATGCTACATTATGCAGACATGAGGCCTGATCCCACATTCTCTACATATATGTCTAAACTAGTCTTATCTGGTACACATTACAAAACTTTTTTTTTTTTTTTTCGAAAATGAAACTTGAAAGCTACAATTCTAAAGAAAAGGAAGATAACAAGTGCGAAAAAAATCATAAATTGTCACATAGTACATTGATATCATAATTCACGTTTTAAAATTTGCTTCCTATTTGTAGTATGCTGGGAACAATTTACCTACCGAGAATAAAGAAAGACCAGTTGCAACTTTAAGTAAATTTTCAACACTTAGTCTTTAGTTCTTACCTCATTTATGTCTTCTGCATCTCATGGTCTGAAGATCATCCATCTTTTAAACTGCCCTAAGTGTCTAATTAACTACAGTAGACGCTGGGGCAGCTGTGGACGAATCATGTTTTGGCCAGTCTATGCGTTACTCTTCCAGCACCTGCAAGGGGTTTGAGGGGTGCAGCATGCCTGTTGATTGTAAATGTGAGAATCTTGACATTGAGGATAGAAAGGGTAGTGGGAGGCATGAAGATTGTAGAACGCCACCTGTGAGTCAGGCACACCAGTTATCAGCCGGAAGCCCACCACCCTTTGGTGCTGGCAAGGTGTTAGATGACAGTAGTGAAGAGTACCGTGGTCGTGTAAGATTTGATATTTCTCCCTATTTCCTCCTCCTCCCGTCCTTTTTATGGTCATTTTCCCAGCTTTTGTTGCAAATGTAGGACGTGCATGCTGGCTTCTAGCATCATTATAAGCTTCTAAACAATCCGTAGCTCTGAAGTGCCATCTTATTGTCGTATAGTGATAGTTGCCTCTATATCATGTAGGTGCACATAATTCTGTGTTGTACATATATTTCTGAATTTAGCAATTGATAGTCTAGCCGTGAGGTGGTGTGATTGCCATACAATATCTTAGCGAAGGGTATTTTCATCCATTTTCTGGTAACTTGAAATTTGAAGTGTTTAGGGGTAAAAGCTTGCATGAAAGAAAGGCGTCCTTTGAACGAGGAAGCTTATGAAATTTCTCTCGACAACTATGGGTGCATTGATGGTCCCAAATCTGGCTGGCTGAGGGTTTTAAGCAATGTAAGTTGACTCATTGGATGCATGAAGAGTAATGGTATTGAAATCCTTACTGTCATTGTTACATTAGTAGAGTACAATTTTGTTGGTGGAGCGTGAGAGCATATATTTAAGGTTTCATTATGATTTCATTTATTGGTTAGGGTACTGTAGTCAATTGCATCTTCTGTTCCGTACTCGTCGTGGTTCAATTGGTGATTTCTGACCCGATTATTTCCCATTCCATTTCTACAGGCACCCAAGCTCTTCTTCATTGGCTTGAGTTTCTATTTTACTGGTGATTTTCCATCGGCTTATGAGGAGGATCTTCAAGATTTGGTTATAGCTGCGGGAGGTACCATATTAGAGAAGGACGAATTCCCAGCACCTAGTTTTAATGACCAGACTGCACCAAAGGTGCTGGTTGTATACAATCTCGATTCTCCTGGAGGATGCAAAGTGGGGGAGGAGGTTTTAATTCTCTGGCAAAGATTAAATGAGGCAGAGGGAATAGCTGCAAAGGTTGGAGCCCAAGTCATTGGTCATACATGGCTTGTGGAATCCATTGCAGCGGGTAACTTGCAACCTTTTGTCAGCTGCTAACCTTGATTTTAATCTATATTTTGTGCTGATTCAAGGCTTAGTTGTTTATTTAAATGATTAATCTAATCCTATACGTGAAGTTGGCCCTTGTACAATACAAACTGAAGCTAATCTGAATAGTTAATCTACATTTCCTAGGCTATCTGTAGTGGGCTCCCAACTTCATTGGATGGCACAAGAAAAATATGCATTATCCTACAAATAAGAAGCGCATCTACAGCAAGTCTCTACTTGATCAGTAGACTGCAGACGATTTATTTGTAATACTACTGAATCTTCACTATCGCTGCCTCCCTTCTGATGTATGTGGCTTTGTCTAGATAGCAAAAGGCAATAAAAATTACATGGATTTCTTTGATCGTATAGAAAAAAGTTCTGATAATAGCGTTGGAGAAGCCCAATAGAAGCTTTTGCTGGACATTTTCCATGAAATATCTAAGACAAACCTTGCTATACCTAAAGTATTATCAGGTTGGTTGGATTTTTGAGGCCTGATGAGGAGCAGCTTCCGTTGTTAGCAATGCCACGATAAATTCTTGTTTGGATTCTGCACAATCAGCGTTATAAACATACAACTTTGCAGCTACCAGAAAGAAGAGAAAGTTGATGAAGCCCAAGATGGCCAATAATGCGTAATAATGGTCTAGATGAGAGACGTTTAGATTGTCCAAAACCCAATTGCTGTGGTTTTTTTTGGTTATATCAGCTACGGTCTTCAGTAAAAAACTACTCAGAAAATGTCCAATTCCCAAGCTGGTGGTGAAGTAGGAGGTGCCAAGGCTTTTCATGCCTTCTGGTGCTTGGTCATAGAAAAACTCAAGCTTTGCAACTTCTGCAAAGGCATCTGCTATTCCTGTCAAGGCAAATTGAGGAAGAAGAATGAAAATGGAGAGTGGAACCTGGTCTTCTTTGCGAAAAATCTTGTTTTCTCTAACGGTTTTCAGTCTCATCCTTTCAGTAATACATGCTGCGACCATGATGGTAATTTGCAACACTAGTCCAACACCCATCCTTTGGAGCAATGTGATCCCTCTAGGGTTTTTGGTGAATCGACGAGCAAATGGAACGAAGAAACGGTCATAGATGACAATGCTGATCAGCATAAAGATTGTTACAAAAACTGCAAGGCTTGCTGCAGGAATTTCAAAATGGGGACCCAAGCTTCTGTCAAGGGTGGCGCCTTGTTTCACAAATAGTGTACCCACTTGTGAAACTAGTGCACTTGGAATGAATGTCGCTGCCAGAATGGGTATCATTTTAATCATTTGCTTTGTTTCTTCAACTTGAGTAACAGTGCATAGTGTCCTTGCTGAGCTCGTCTCACCCTGAACGGCTGCTTTATCTAGGAATCTGCAGGTAATGGAGTTCTTCTAATCAAGAAATGAAAGGTTGACCATAATCAGCTTGGAAACTTGTATTTACATTTGGTTCGATAGAATTACCTTAATGAATGAGTATGATCAATCCTATATTTTTTTGAATTAGTGTAATCTTCCAAATTAAGCTCATGAAGCTCCTTTGTATCATCAGGAATTGGCAGTTTCCGGTTCCCCACGGCAGCCACAATCACCTTAGCTATCCTGCTGAAAGGGCTCCCTGAAGGCAATTTGTGCCTATAAAATGGAGTGCCAATCAGAAATACAAGCACAGAGATTGAAAACCCGATAGTTGGAATCCCATATCCAAGGCCCCAACCTACGGTGTCTTGGATGTAAACCAAGAAAGTGTTTGAGAACAGAGTGCCAAAGAAAATGCTGAACATCCACCAATTGAAAAAGGAAAGCTTTTGTGTTCTTTCCTTGGGTTCAAAATCATCAAATTGGTCAGCTCCCATTGTCGAAATGTTGGGTTTGGTTCCACCAGTTCCAATTGCGACTATGTACAATGCACAGAAGAAAATGCCTACTTGGAGAGGCGAGGCTTGTTTGTCACAATGATCTTCTTTGGCCTCATCGCCGCATGATGGTGGTCTCAGGGCTGGCAATGAAACTGACAAGGTTAGCAGGACCATTCCCTGTATGACACAAGTTGGATGAGTCTAACATGTAAGTACAGACTCAAATTCCCTCCTCCATACGTTTATTTCTCTCTTTGAACTTATTCTACTGCTTCTAATGTTTCATCGAAACCAAAAGACAACTCAATGGAGATGAGTTTAGATACCATTAAAATATAGCTCATTCATAGAAAGTTTGAATCTTACAATGAGGTAAATTGCGGAAGATGCGACAAAGGTCCAGTATCGACCAAGATAAGCGTCAGCAATGTAGGCACCTATAATTGGTGTCATCCACACAGTTCCAATCCAGTTGGTGACATTATTGGCAGATGTCACAATGTCTTGATGAAGTTTGTCGGTCATATACACCACCAAGTTTGTTGCAATCCCATAGTATGCCATCCTCTCAAACACCTCGAACACTACATGAAACAAACATGTTGTGAATATTAACCACTTCTTTCTCAACCCAAGAACTCAAAGAACAAAGCCTGATATGGGTTTCTGAATAAGGTAGTTTCTAAATGTTATTGCCTTTTGTGAAGTTATTCTCTTGATTCCCATGATATGGAACCAAGGACCTATTAATCTTAGTTCTTTAAGAAACCAACTCTTTCTTCTTTGATGCTCCTATGAAGGATATCTTCATGCCAAATATTGAAAGACTGAACTCATTACTTGTATTTTTGAACGGAGAGCTTGCAGGTGTGCAGGCTACCAGTTACGCAAAGAAAAAAAAAAAAGAAGAAGAAGAAGAGGAAAGCTTGTTGAAGATTACCAACAATGAAGGAACAGGCTCTCCATCTCCCAGTCTTCGATCTTAAAATAGGATCACCTTTGAGACTCACGGTTCCATCTTGTGTATAATCATCTCTTCCGTCTGCGGAGCCTTTCTCTTCCACCTGTGCCATTATAGTAAACAGAGGAGAAAATGAACTTTCTACTGGCCAATCGTTGAAATTCATGTGAGTTCTATTAGCTTTTTATATAGATAAAATAAATACCCACAAACACACAAAATAAAAATAAAAATAAAAATAAAAATAAATTATAGGAAGATCACCACCACAGACGTATTTATTAGGAAATTAAATAATATTACGGCAAAGTATGGAAAGTTAGCTAGGGATGCTGGCTTATGGTTCAGAAACTTTAGGTTCATGCCATTTAGGATTGAAAGTTTTAAGTTTTCGTAGTCTAAATTAGAAATTGCTTTGCAGATTTACAATTTTAGTCTGAAAGGTGGATTCAATAGGTAAGCTTTTGTAGTTAGAAGGATCATGAATCCTAAAGTATTAGCAAGCCAGTCCATTATATTAAACGAAACCATGGCTTAGCCAACCAAGTCATATTTGTTTAAGAATTCTTTTCATTGTTTTGTACAATTTGATATGCCTGTAGCTCCTCATTGGGTGCTTGTTTCTCTCCAATGTGAAATTGCTGACATGATATCAACTTAACATTATGTGTGCTTCTCTTTTTCAGTCACTTTCACAGTTTGACTCGCTCATTATTTTTTAGATGTTTACGATTTGAAGGAAAATGTAATTAATATGAAAAAACCGTTCCAAGCAATGCGTAGCACAAGCTTTTCCTGCTTGTTGGTATCTTGAAATCGGCAGAAGATGCTGATTTGGGGTTAGCATGCTGTCTTTCATGAACTCTCGCGAAATTTATTATTTTTATTTTTTTTTGGATTTTACCAACTTTTACCATCATATTATGTTCCTTTTTTACTTCTTTTTCTTAGTTTAATATGTATAATAGATATTCAAATCTGTAATTACTTTCTAAAATGATTAATGACAGTAGAAAATAAGGATTAAAGGACTTTCTACTCTTCCAAAAAAAAATATATATTAAAAGAGTATTTTTGTAAAATTTGTTCGTCACGAGAAGGAAGTGGCAAACTGCCAATTTGAAGCAAAGAAATGCTTTCTAATTGCAGTTTTACTCTTCAACTAATCCTTAATTGTTTCTTGCCATGCCTGGAAGGGTTAGGTTCTTTTTGTTTGTCCAACTGCATCAACACACACAAGGATTGTACCAAGTTTAGTTAAACAATAAATTGCCTAAATTTAGGCAAAGAGATGGGAAGGGTATGCTCTGCAAGCTACAAGTCTCAGCTCTCGAGGTCCCATCTAATAGAAAAAGGATTGATATGGACAGTGCTTACAGACAAAAACAAAAGTCATCAAGACAAGATTAACTTTGTGAATTCCACCCAATGGAATCAGAGAAGCATAGAATGCACCAATGGGCTTGACGGGTTATTTGCAGATGTGATTATAAAAACCAAAAATCTTATTTTGAGATATACTCGAGAATGGGTTTTAGCCATTTAAATTCAAGAACCTACTGAAGGAAGGCCAGACAAAGTTTACTAATTGTGGTGTATATTGTGGCAGAAAAGTTGGACTACATCAGTATTATTATTATTATTTTGGAGCTAAAAAAGACAGAAAAATAAGAAATTGAAACTTTTTTACTCCTAGTTATCAAAATTTTAATGGTAATCTAGGAAGTTACTTACGTATGAGAATGCAAACTTACATACGAGAATGACAATTTATCAGATTAATGCTAGACTTTGATTCACATCTATCGAGTTTTAGAGTCCCTATCTAAATAAGACATATCTTCAATCAAGAAAACAATAGTTTGAATCTATTCATCACACACAAGTATTAAAAAAAAAGAGATCTAAACTCCCATTTAGAATTTTTGCAGCTTGACAAACTTAAAAAATTTAATGTTATACCAACCAAACATTATTGTATGTTCATGTATTCTAGTTAAGCTATAACTATGAGATATAGTTGGACATAAATAAGTACGGTAAAAAGTTCGTCCACATTATTCACCTGGTCAATTAGAAATATCAAGCAACAAAAACGAAGATAAACAAAATCAAATCTAAAAATTTCCTATACAAAATAAAGGGTTGCTCGCAATCCAATCATAACATTAATTGCCCATCAGATATAAGCCAAAGACTTCGTGAAATTCAGAACAGAAGCCTCTGAGCTCACATCAGATGCACACGAAGTTCATATATAACCAACGAAGTTTCTTAGGGGGTCTATGGGAGTCCATCCAAAGGCCAAAAGTCAGACTCAGCATGAGAATAAACTCCTATTCAAAAACATTGGCCAGTGTTAAACAATATGGAAGGATATCTACTAAACAAAGGTAATTTTTAAACAACGATTGCAACACTGAGAAGCAGTTAAATCATATAAACAAAACTAAAAGAATTGTCAAGTGGAGAAGTAAATCGC